GGGCTGCCGCCGTGGGGCTTCGCGCCGGGGAGGCGGGCTTGGGGGGGAGGGGGCGGCCGTGCGCTTCAAACGTCCCGGGAATAAACGTCCGAAGGGGAAGTTAGCGCGCTGCCCAAAGGTTTTGGTGTGGGTCGAAGCAAACAGGCTCCAGCCCCACCGTGCGTTTGCGACTGTTTTTCACGTAGCGCCGGAAGGATGCTCGTGTAGCGTGAATGTTAATCAAGACCGGTGGCTTGGCCCTTTATTGTTAATCCTGCTCTTAAAGCGCAGGTTTAAATCCTCCTGTAATAAAGCCTGTGCAAGTTTAGAGGCCTTACAAGGTCTTTACTGGAATATTCTGGTAAATCATCGTTGTCGTTTTATTTGTGTTTTTAAATTTGAGTACTTTATCATGTTAATAATTTTGTTTACTTGACCTCTGTGAAATAATTTCCTCTTAGATTCATCTTTAGGTAAAAACGAAGTCATCCTGTATATCTATGGAGTTACATGTGCCCTCAGACTGAAACGTTAAGCTGTGTAAAACGATGCTTGTATGTGCAGGAAAGCTGTATGTGTTACAGAGTGATGCCCAGCGTTACTTCATAAAAGTGAAAGCAATATAACTGCTCGGATTTGCGCAGGTGCTATGATGCCAAGTTTCTCAATCACATGAGTGAAGCTATTTCATACTGTGTTGTTATTTTACCTGCAATGAGTTAGCAATTTTTAAATGTAATAGGAATGTATAATGCCATTAACGTTTATGTTTCTAATTGTCAAAAACACTTGCAAAACTTTATGTGTATTCACATAATATTTATATTCAATGAACATATTCATTTCAGCAGGCTACTTGTGCACACAAAGTTAAAAGCTTGTATTTGCTCCTATTGCAGGAATAGAGATTTCTGTACCATTGCAAGAAACATTGTGTCAAAGAAAGATACTTGCTAACTGTTTTTGTGCCGTTCTGCTGCTACGTGTACGGAACAAACGTTTATTAGGCTCTCCATTTATTTCCCACAGTATTACTTACGTTTTTTTCTTTTTTCTTAAGATAACTATATGTTGTTTGATTTTTTTTTTTTAATGTGTATTTTTCACTCCTGTTTTATAGGAGATTTGCGTGACCCTACGTTACCTTTGTTGAACTCACCTAGGTAAGTAGGTAGTATTTGCCAGTTCCTGTTTATGAATAATCGCATTGCAGAAAACATACAAACGTCTGTTTTTCGTTCAATGTTTTCCTGCACAAGGTTATTGCCTTTCTCTTTAAACTTCCTTCTAGGGATTTAAAAATTGCTCTTAATAAAACTATTGTTCTGAGGCATCAGATTCCTCTTGGAATGCTGCTATGTAGTAAATTCTCATTTGTCTATTAACTCTGCAGCTGACTTTGGAATATCTCTGAAGGGACAGTAAACTTAAATTCCATGAGGAAGTCCTAAGCTAAAAGAAAAACCAAAAAAACCTCCTCCAAATAAACACAAATAGTTTCTGCCCCAGCCCAAAATAATGTTATGTACTGAAAAAAAAATTGGCAAGGTATTGTCATCTGTCTCAAATCCAATATTGTATCCATCTTCCTGTTCTTTTTTAGCCCTTTCCTCTGTCATTCCCCCACCCCACGTTTCAGTCATGAAGTCATTTTCTACTTTTAAATTTATTCTATTTCTTTCTCTGGTTTATCAAAAGTAAAAATAAATGCTAGTTATAATATCCTCATGCTATAATGGACTTTTGGGAAAAAATGAAGCAGTTAAGTAAATCCAAGCTTGCTGTCAATTCAAGTAAGAATGTACTGCTTTACGCATTATAGTGCTATTTATGCCAGAATTCCTCAAAGCTTTAATATAATAGTCATGTGCAGTTGCTTATTCAAGCTAAATTTCCTGGTGCATCTACTGAGAAATGTGATGAAATAGGCCGGGAGCTTTTAAATTTAGGGGTTGCTATACTTTATCAGACTCATGGATCATTTAGTTGATTATTCTTTCCCTCCCTGTGAGCAGCCACGAAAAATGTTAGTAACTTTCTTGCTGGAATATATCATCATCTACTCCATGTGTAAAGTCTTTTCTAACCTCCAGTAGTAAGAAGGAGGTTGAAATCTTAGAAACTTCCAAAGCCTTTAATATTATAACAGCTTTGTTGTTTATCATCCATGTATACATCAAGTTCACTCTGATATGTGCTCTTTTAGAACTAGAGTTATGTGCAACAGCAATAAATCCCACCGTTAACTTC